CTGCTGGCAACTCAGTAGAGACATTGGAAGGAGCCAAATACAGATCCTCTCTTTTGGACACTCAGATTTACAAAATAAATTTACGCCAACACTCTACCAAGAGCTTCATTCTCATTTCACGAACGCAAAATGCAGTTTGGCAAAAAAAGAGCATGTGGTTTTGGAGAAGAGATTAATGAAACCTTGCATCATTGTGTGGCACTTGCAAAGCCTACGAGAAAATTACACAATACCAGTTATAGTAAAGTTGTGGCATTAGGGCCATTCACAGTTGTATTCCTCAATGTCTGCTCCACCTTTGAACTTACACACTTTGTTCAGCAAACCGTCCCAACCGAGACAGAAGGATCAAGATGGCGTGACTCTGAGTTAAGCTTTGTGATGCAAATCTCATGTGATTTCCTCAAGAAATTTGCAATAAATTTTCAGAGATTATTAGTGCATACTGAGCGATATGTCTACCAAAATTCATTTCTTGGTACACAATAAAGCTCATTTTAAAGGCTAATAGGACAGATTAAAGCAGAACATTCCTTAGCTTTCAATTGTTTGTTTCTATTATTACTCTCTAAAAAAAATCCTCAGTAAACTTTCATGGCACCCTTAAAGTCCTCAGTAATCTGTGACATTAAACACAGGAAGCCTGGGAAGATTTCAGCTATGCCAAATATTCTGAAGATTAGCAGAAAAAATAAAATAGGAAATAACCAATGAGACCATAAGCCTACATTGATCTTTAACCTAAAACCCATGATGATTAAAAAAAAAGTCCTAAAATAACTTTCAAACAAATCAGAGATAACTTTAAGAGAACTTCAATTTTCCTTGTGAATTGCAGTTAATTGCTAACAAAAATACCTGCATCTGTCAACAATTAGAGATAACTGAATTTAACTTCTTAAAAACCTAATCACAAGGTACTTCATCTCTCATCTGATGATATAATCAAGAGATGATGAAGAAACTCTCCTTTAAAACATTCACTTTGCCCTTGAATTCATCGGAGTGAAAGTCTCCACCACTGCAGCCTGCACAATATGGCTAAAGATAAGGCAGCACAAGAGCAGTGTCACAGAGGGACATGCAGACCACTTCGTTAGCATTACGTCAGGTCATAATGAGCCATCTGCAAATGAAGGAAATGCCTTTTTTGTTCTTTCCCAAACATCTGATTTCCATGAGGATTGAGGGAAGGAGGGGGGGTGTGCTTGGTTGGTTTTATGCAAGAACATTAATATCTGACTGTATTTGCTAATAAAACTGTAACTCTCTTTGCTGAAAGACTGTCGGAGGGCAAGGCATGCAAATATCCGTGTCCCTTTAATTTTATTTCCTGCCATCTCCCCCAGCTCCATAATTTTGTTTTTTTTCATAGAGTTTGCCTGCATATGGAAGAGTTCTAGTCCATATTCTGAACAAGTTTTGGAGATCATCTTTTCAGTGAAGATTTCCTCTGAAGTGGGAAAAAGTTTAATATCATACTTCTTGAAAACAGAGGCAGGTGCTGCACAAAGCAGTTCCAAATCGTTTAAGAACTGAATTACTGCCCAGCCTCAATGACCAGAGTTAGAATTTCACTGTGATTTAAGCAGCCCTGATATGAATTCAGGTTTTTGTGTCATCTGCACAAGACGCCCATTCTGCTCATGCAAGTTATTTTCTTCTCAACCTGGGACGAAAGGAGAAAGATTCCCACTTGGCTGACTATCACAGGCTGCAGTTAACAGTGATACCTTCAGAAATTTAGAACAGCCCTGAGAGGTTCGGCTGTTTCCATGTCTCCCCACTGCAAAGGGGAGCATCTGTATTGGCAGGGTCAGCATCATGCTAAGCAGGGCAGCCTCACTCATACAGAGTGACAGGTGACTGTCACTCTGAATGGAAAGCAGCGGGGCACCGTGTATTTTGCAAAAGGTTTTCAAGTCACTTCTTCCTTTTCCTGTGAGCCAAAGTCTGATATAATGCACGGAGAATAATAAAAGAGATGCCCTTAGTCTCTAATTCAGGTTTACAACACAGAAAATGTTAATGGGAGTTAAATCAACTATTGACATTTATGACAATAATTTGCTGTGCTGCCTCTGACCCGCAAGACAATATCAGGATAATAAAGGCTTAGGGACTTGCCTGAGCTGGGAGCAGTCACTGCCAGTTTGCCCACCTAACGGGCAACTCCTTGATTTACAGACAAAGAAAACTCAGTGAGGACAGTTTTACCTTTGAAGTAGGCTCACACACAGGCAATCACATCACCTTTCGTATCCATTCTTTCCACAATATATGCAAAGTTAAGTCTTGAAACTTGTTTCTAGAGGAAGAAAGCCAAATTGCTATTGAACATTATAGCATACAAAACAAGCAGCCTTAAAAGAAAAATGCTTAAAAAAAAGTAAAAGATAATTTGCAGAAACAAGATTCGCTTCAAAAAATATGAAGCAATTATCTTCAAAACTAATTTTAAGCCAAGTAATCTCTTCTCCTAGGTAAGAAGTGATAGGACAAAAGGAAATGGCATCAAGTTGTGCCAGGAGAGGTTCAGGTTGGATATTAAGAAGAATTTCCTCTCAGAAAGATGCGCTGAGGCACTGGAACAGGCTGCCCAGGGAGGTAGGGGAGGTCACCATCCCCAGAAATGTTTAAGGAAAGGGTAGATGTAGTACTTGGGGACATGGTCTAGCGGGCAATGTGGGTGGAAAGTGGATGATTAGACTAGATGATCTTAGAGGTCTTTTCCAACCTTAAAGTTTCTATGATTCTAATATAAAGGAGATCTGAGACAACAAGAGATCATCTTTTTTTCCTTAAGGATTTGTTATGCAAAGAATGTAAAAACTTGTGGAATATTACAGCTTTTTCTTCAGAATAATACTTAACATTAGAAACTAATAACACACATCAGGCAGGCAGTTCTGTATTTTCACAACATAGATTCATCCAATTCCACATCATGGACACAATTGTAAATGTATTTTTTGACATTAACAAAGCAAAGAGCACATAACAGCTGAAACTTCACATTCTAGAACTTTTTAAGTAGAACATTAGTATTAACATGGTAAACCTTGTGTACGCCAGGAGAAAAAGCACATTAAATACTCATATCTTATCATGTGCTTTTGTGTCCATACAGGAAGCCTCATTTCTCTGTGTGACTCTTCCCAAAACTTTATCCTTGCCTAAGGATTCTCTACTGAAGCCTGGCCCAGTAGAGAGTAACCTGGCTTGAGCATTACAGGGAAGAATGCTTCCTACACGCCATGCCCAAGTGTTAGCTGATTGTTGGATGAGAACATATTCCAGAAGTACAAGGGACAACAAGATGGGGTTTAGCACTCTATCCTGTTTTTAGGCACTGGACAGTAAGCAGTATTTATTTAAATACACTTTTTGCTAATTATGTGATCACGTGGAAAAGGTGGAATGATGAAACCCATCACAGTCCTTAATTAGCCCAAATTCAATTGAATTAAAGAGAAGCTTTTCCTCTTTAAGAATTCAAGGCTCAGATAAATCTTCCTGCACCCAGCAGTTGATCATTATTTTTCCCTTGAAGGCTGATTAATTGCTTATATACAGTAACTATTTTCCTGGCTTATGTAACTGAAATCCTTTTCATGTGTGTCTCGTCATTTTTATTTTCTAACCAATCTACTGGCAACAGCATCATCCTGCCTCAGCAATTCCTATAGATTGAATAAATGTTGCATGAAAATACATTTCTCTTCATCTGTTTTAAACTTGTTGCCTTTTCATTTCAATGTTCCTTTGTTCTTTCATGATGAGAAAGAGTAAAAGGACTGAGCTTCTCCATACCAGTTCATATTTTATATAAACCTAACATCTCTTTCCTTCACTAGGTCAAGCCAGCCCCTCTGCTTCTCATAATTTCCATTGCCCTCTCAATCTCTTCTATTTCTGCCATGTCCTTCCGCAAGTAATTCAACTAGAGCACATTCAAGGTTAGGAGAAAGATGTACCTCTGTTTAGATAACACCAATTAAATATTTCCTGTGTAATTCTGTGTCACTGTCTAACATACCCCATCAGTTCACTTGCTCTTACTGCTACCACAGACACTGTCTCCACCTCTACAGCACTGACCCTACGCACCTCGTAACCTCTGCAAGTCAACACATTTCAGTAAATTTAGTCTGGAGATCAAAGCCTGACAACAAAACACCCCAGCTCACACTATCTTCTACAGCTCATGTTCTGCCACCCCTCACACAAAGAGTCCATGGCTCTGACTGCAGACCCTGAGCATCCCTGCAAAACACAGCAATTACAGCACCCTGGAGGCACTGCAAACCAAGACCCTGCCCTTGCAAAAACTTATTCAGTGTTCGCAAGAATTAAGTTACATCTCTGCCCAGAAGCCTGCTAAGGTGAGGGTCATATTTATTTCTGTTTCTCAGTTTTAATCACCTATTCCTGTGCACAGCACGTGGTAGCCATCCGTTTGCAACATTTCCTAAGGTACTGGTTATTTCTATGATGAAGGGTGCCCATTTCCCTCAGCATATAGGTTAGTCAGTTTTCTGTTTGTTTTTTTGTTTTCTTGTTTTTTTTCCAAACACTAACAGGGCAAACATGCTACCTACAATTACAGTTACTCTGCCATAAATTATTGATGACTCTCAAGAGCCTGTTTGCTTCAGAGAGAGAGAGAGAGAAAGGATTGTTTACCTAATAAAAGATCACGCCAGTAGTTTTCAACACTGATTTTTTTTAAAAAATCTAATAATCTTGCAGTACTGGAAAACACAGAAGTATTTATCGTTTTATTTGGTAGAGTTTACTTTTAGGTTAGGAGATATTTTCTCAAGGTGATTGATTTTATTTTTGATTCATATCTTATTTCCCCACAGTGTTGTAGAGTAACGTAGAAATATATATAGTATGCTGCATTTAACTCCTTTGCTGCCTTCTGCTAAACGCATTGAGACACAGTATTTACGTTCAGGAGATCATTGCCCTGATTCTCTGATATTTTTGCTCACCAATACTTCAAAAGCAGCTAATCCACTGTGCTTCAGACACACTGTCATACACCTCTGAGGTCACACAGCTGGAGATCACATGTTCATCATCCAACAACAGATCATTGAGAGAAGTAGGAAGGCATGGAGCAATCTGCAAAGAGATATCACACTCAGCTCTACTGCAATTCATTCTCAGAGAGTGAAATCCACATACTGTTTTTGAGAAGACCTTCCCTGGAAATAACAAGCTAACCATAATAGGAATAAAAAAGAAAAAAGAAAGCACAAAGTCCTTGACCGTGTTTCATTTCTTCTCACGGCCCTTTCTCTTGTAAAGCATTTGAAATGCTATAGTGAGAAGTTCTTTTGAAATATCATAGGCTGAATTATATCTGTAACGTGATGAAAAATTCAAGGCAGATGCCCGAGCAGAAGAAAATGCTATTAGACAGATAAAGGTGCCCCGGCTGTCTGAGAAGAGAGGAGATACATAATGGGGTAAAAGGTAGCAAAGCAACATCTAAGTGGCTGTTCCGTAGCTGGTTTACTGTGTCAGACACTTTTCTTCTACCACACCCCAACACTTCGTTCAGGTTCCCTTGACAAGAAATCAAGGTGCTTGTACTAGGGATGAACAATAGCACTCAATGACCAGCTCTGCAACCTGCCTGGCCAGGCAGGACACAAAGGTTTCTGAGTGCACCAGGGAAGCACCATTTATTTATTTTTCCTCCCCTAGATTACTTCCAGTTTTGTCTCAGCCTAAGCTATTTGCAGGTCACAGCAAGGTGTGCATTTAGGTCTCTGCCTCTGAAGGCTGCAGATCTCCATAAGCATTAACAGCTCCATCAGAAGCAGCTTTGTGAGCCAAAATCAAAGTAAAGAGGGACCTAAGTAATATTTGACAGGTCTGTGTAGGGCTACTTTACAGACTTAAAGATCCCACATGGAAATGCAGCATTATTTTTCTTGCAAAAAACTCGAGAATTAGCCTGGTAGAATTCATAGCGTTCGACTTGTTTGTTTTTGTTTTATTTTAGTAGGCTGTTGGGGTTTTTTTGTTTGTTTTTTTGTTTTTTTGTTTTGTTTTTTTTGTTTTGTTTTTACTAAGAAATATTTCAATACCTGTTTCTGGAAATATTCCCCCCCAAAAAAAACAAAAAAAACCCACACCCCAACTTTAAAGAACAGGAGTGATTTTTCAAATCACAGAATAGTTTTTCTTTTGGAAAAAAGAAGCACATTAAGCGGACAGGAAGAAAACACCAGTCCTCTTGTGGTTCTCTGCCTGCTGACTTGCAATTACTCACCAATCCACTCAAGTCGTCTTTGATTCTCTAAAAGAGGAATTCTGGGATTTGTGCATGAAGAAAACAGATCTGGATACTACTGAGAACAGAAGGAGGTTATCAGTGCTGCTGCCTGTGGTAGCTGTTCATCTTCATTTGTAATTCTGGAAAAGAAAAATACATCTGTCTTTTGTGGAAATAAGCATACAGTTGCCACCTAGAAACAAACAGGTACTGAAGTGATGAAACAGAGGTTTATGGGGGCATGTTCACCCTGCATTGCTTTTAGGACTTCCAAGGAAGCACCAAGTAAGTTAGTGCACAAAGTGACACACCAACAGCTACACAGGGGGTTCCCTAAAATCACGAGGGCCAGAGAAATAGTACTGACGAGCTGAAATAATTAGTTCTGCTTGAGTACTAGGCACACATGCCTGTAGTGCTTCAGGGGAACTCCGCTCACTGCAGCACTGTACGGTGCATTCACATTCCATAAAGGAAAGAGGCTGTGTTTGTGAGAGAAATTGCACCAGCATAATTTACTACACAGCTTCAGTTCAACCACTCCCATTATGGGCGCTTCACCACTGCTTTCAGTGGGAGCCAGCTTAGGCCAACACTTGTACTTTTGATCAGTCCATCCTAAAGACAAATATTTCGGAGTAAACAATCTCAGCAGGAGCAAATAAAAAATTAAAAAGACATAGATAAAGAAGACTGCTCAAACTTGGACACCAAGTAGGCAGCAATAACCAGGTGGGACATTTGAAGTCGTTTCAAGATGAGCTTTCATGTTGGCTGTCAGGAGTTAATCTTTTCTATACAGCGGACAGTGGGAAAACCCTCCAATTTGCTTTACTCAGCATCAGGAAGAGAAAGTTTATTTCCTGTCCCTGTGCTGCCTGCCATGTAAGAGATGCTAGTCAGGATGACCGGGATACACAGATGAAAAGATAGCTAAAAACAATCAAGAGTCATTCCCAGAAACTAGAAGAGACAAGAGACAAACTTTCTCTGGTCCTTGAATGCCACAGAAATGTACCACCCCAGAGATATATGATGATAACATAGCTCTTAATGCAACCTTGTACAGGAGGTAGCCTGATTTGCTGAACAACACAGTAGGAATGGAGAACTGAGGTTCTCTACCTCTAGATAGCCAGATCAGTCAATTTGCTTTATAGCTCAAAAAAAATACAATTACACAGTAACACAGTATTCACTGCTGTACCAACACCCACATAACAAAACAAATAAATCTATATTATTCATTTGGACTAACAGAAAGAATGAGTAACTTACAACCTCATTGTAAGGAAACACTGTCAAGCAATCAATTTCTCCCCACTTTGCAGTCAATGATTTTGCTCTGCTTTGGTTTTTGTGAATCAGCAGGAGACCGTTATTTTGTGACAGTGTTCTCCTGTTTATACCATCTCTTCAGAAACTGCAGGAACTCCCAACTAGCAGGATTTTACCAGTAAATATTGATTTAAGATTAAAAAAATAAAAAATAAAAACCCTGTATCTGCTCTCCAAAGAAGCCTTGAAAATAAAGAAGTGTTCTTCTTCTAATGAAGAACAGTACAAGAAGGGAAAAAAAATCTTCTGTAGAGTTAAAGCATGTTTGCTGCTAAATAGCCTCTTTGTATAATTAGGATTTGCAAAGTGGCAAAACACAATCCAATTAAGTGAGTTAGGTTCATATGATTAACATCAGACTGCCAGTATTGCTCTCATAGTTCATCAGTAGCATTACTAATTAGGACACCACTAAGCAGAGACATCTGACCTTGGCTCAGCCGGTTCAGATTACGGTTGACCCTTCTGAACCCTGAAAGAGCCTCACACTGCTTACTTCTTTCCTTACCTAACTTACTGATGAACACTTTCCTACGATGTCCTGCATCCTTTGAACGTCATTCCATCAGTCGTCAGCCATCATCAAATAATTAGCGCCTCTCTGACCGCTGATCACAAAACTGAAAATGGATAAAGAAGCTTTTGGCAGACATTTTTCTGTTTGCACTCTGAATTCACTACAATATTAAAATCAGTGCTGTGGCTAGAAAAGCAGCCTGGAAATAATTTCAAGTTGCAAGTAGCAAAAAAATAGAAATGATCTTTTCTCGTCAAATAGTAACCGCAAATGGAAATGGTGTCAAGTGGAAAAGGTGTCTCAAATGTTGCTCAACAGCAGATCGGTAATCAAAACTGAGGGACTACTGCAGGGAAAACAGGATCTGTGATTCCAGCGTTGGCAACATCCCCGACCCATGACAGAAGGACAAACCACGGTCACTGATTGCTTTGCTTCAGAAGCTGCTGCTTCTCCTTCACAGTGCCGTGCTAGCTGTGACTGCAGTACTTAATTATCTGGAGCAATTATTTCTTTTAAGCGGAAAAACAGAAAAACTTTCCAGATATTATTTTTGCATTATACCTTTGTGATTAGGCACCCTTAAAATCACAGCCAACAGAATTGAAGACTTTAGAAAGTACCTGCAACTTTTCGATAGAGATGATACAGTCACTGATAAACATAACACAGAGCCTCTAAATACCAAGAGCAAATACCACAGAATCAATTTTTTTTTTAGAACAACGGAGCACATCATCAGGTAAGTATAAAAAACAATATAACTTTATCAAATATTAAACTTATAACTTACAGAGCACAAAAAACTCCAATTTGACAGTACAATTCTTCCACGTGACACTACAACTCCTCGCCATATCCTTCCTACTTATGACTGCTATGGCAGAAATAAAAATACTGAACACAAACTAACTGGAGGTCTTTGAGGATAAACCGCAGTAGCCCAAAACCAGTTACAACTAAAATGTATCTATGATATAAATAAGATGGTAGTAAATGAATTAGCGACAGAGATAAACAATGAATTAAGCAAATTAGTGGGAAAATGAAACCTCTAAATACATAAGAAAACTAATTATAGGATTAGAAGGAATTAAGTGACAGAGCCTGTGATGACACTGAACGTTGCTCCATAATCCTCAAGATTCCCCTGTCTGCTGTTTCCAGACTTTCCAGGAAGCATTCCAGAGAACAATTCACTGCTGCATACACCTCTCCAAAGTCTGCTCCATTTCTCAATTAACCCAACTGCTTCCTAGCTGATGCAAATCATTTTCCAAAGAAAGTACAAGCAACGTACCATTGCTCTGCTCTCCTTCTGCTATACAATTCTTTCCCTCATCTCCTTGATTCACTTCACTTACGCCACTGGAAATGCAAAGGCCAAGGAAGCTGAACTTTGCACGGACATTGTGGCTTCGTTCTTGACTAACTGGATGCCACTGACTTAATCCGCACTTCTTTCCAAGACCAATGCATATTTTCAAGTACCACAACAGTGCCTCAAAATATTGTTTAAGTACTCAAGACTTTTAGAAAGCTTCTGTGTAAAATTCTACAGGAAAAAAAAAAAGATTTAAAAAAATGTATATATACATCCATTCCCTCTGCTTTCCAATAATATCAAAAAGCACCATAAAGGCTAGTTTTCAGTTCTGGTTGACACTTGGATGTGGAATTCAAAAGCAGCATGTCGTACCTCATTCGTCAGTGATAAAGAAACTGCTTACAGTAAAATGCTTCACTTCTGCTATCAATTTCTCTAATAAGTAAATCAAAATAAATTGCTCAGCATTTCAGAAACCTGACTGGTCTAATAAACACTTTCAAAAAGTATAATCTCCAGTGGGGAAAATGGGTTCTTAAACTGTTTGCCAGAACATACAAGTATCTATCTGCAAAGTAGATCTTGGGAAGACACTAAAGAGGAAATGAATTTCAGGCTGGAACACGGACATATGACAGCATACACAAACTATTTATTATTTATTGCATTTGGAAGGGGTGGTTCTTTTTCATAGGTTTTCTCTTTTTTTTTTCTTCTTATACATGTTCAGTATTGTGTATGTTCATGCTTAGACTATTCTAATGCTGGCAGATGATGTTGCTAGGGTGAGCGAAATGGTCCCAGCACCTTTCCTTCTTATGGACACCCAAGCACAGGGTGTACAGAGACAGCAGGGTGACTACACACATTTCCTTGCAAGTTATTTAAAGGGAAGTGCCTGCCGTGTGACACTGTGGCTCTTTCTATTGTCACCACAGTGCAGAATTAAGGCTCTCTGGATCCACTTACAGTGCGGTTTAACCTCAGATTTCATTTGAGTTATAACTTCTTATATCATCTTCTTTAAGTTGTATCTATCTGATTTATAACAGATTGCGTTTGGGATAATTAAACCTGGACATACAACTTTGCTTTAAATCAGAGTTCCAGTTGGCAGCTAAGCCAATCTCAGAGTTTTTGCACCAGTATTTCAAGGATACCGATCCCAACCCCACTGACGCACACCATCTGTGAGGGGCTTCAGGTCAGGCTTACAGCTGTCAGGATTTCAATAACTTCAGCAAAGGCAACTCAGGAAAGAAAGGATTTGAGTACTGCCAGGGATCCTGCTTTGACTGAGCTAAGTGCTTACACAAATGCAAGCCAGCTACTGATCAGGTGGGCATTCATGAAAGAGAAGGTGGAAACCTTCGTGAGGAAAAAAAGGGACTCGCTATTTGAGCTGCCTTTCAAGATCCAACCTTACTGAAAACTGTATTAAGGTGACAGACTGCTCTTGGATCTGAAAACGGGGACCTGAGTAGACTACACATTACACAACCAATTCTCATGCTATCGCACCCAATTACCCTTTAAATGGGATCCAGATAGATCAGTCCTTCCCTCTGTGTCCCTGTGGTTCTTCTTCTGAGTACACAAGTGTCTCCTAGCCTTCTTCTTCCCTCTGCCTTCACATTATCTGTGATTTTCTTCTCTAGATCACATTGTTCCAACTTTTTTTCTCTCTGCTAAGAGCAGAATTGTGGAAGTCTGGTGACCACTGTCAGGTTTCCCTGTCCCTTATGGTCTCACTGCCACCTGTAACAACTGCTATGAGTGACCACCTCTCTCCACCATCTCCCATCGGATCCATAGCTAGCTCTGACGGATGCAAAGGGACAGCCTGGAAACAGTACCCAGAATTACAGCTTCCAAAGATGAGTACATGAAAATCATTAACAAAAAACAATGGTAGGAGAATGGAAACCTCACCATCCATCAGGTTACAATGCATAGTTTACTCAACTCTGAACACAAAGCTCTTATGTTTTTCTCTGTTCCCCTCCATACCTCTTAAATGAGACTTGCAGGAACTGTGCTGATGCCCCAACCACACAACAGCAGCCTTCTGCTGACCCCTCATCCTTGCACTGGGCATCTCAGCCTGACAAGCCTTACAGCTTCCTGCCTATCTCTGCAGAAGCTATGACTCAGCTCCTTCCTTTGACAGGAATTGGAATAAAATTAATATTAATTGCAAAGTGCACCAATTCTCCCATAAATCTGCTTGAACAGAGTTCCAGAACTCAAAAAAGGAAAACACGATCAGGGAAAAAGAACAAACTGGTAGCAACCCTACCCACATACAATTTCCTACCACAGGTGGATGCTAAATGAAGATTTACATCTAAGAAGGAATGGTTTGGTTAAGTTTAATGAAATACAGTCCCTAGTGCAGATGCCACTGACCTTTCACTTGAATATTAACTTCATGAAGAAACATACCTTTCAAACCAAACCATGGAATAATCAAGGACATCTCCTGTTCTCTTACTGTGCTTCCACTTGAAAATACCACTCACATCTATACATGGGAAAGTAGCGCACATATCAGAAAACATCCCTGTAAAGACATGCTATAACTTAAATGGCTAATAAGGATGACAAGAAATGACAAGAAATATTTTATTGTATTCCTCAAATTCAGAGTACCAAGCCAAAAATCTTACCTTAATGAAAATCAGCCCACTCAAAACACTGTAAGATCAGATGATGGCCTAGAATAAAACTTGACCTTAATTTTTTGCAGTGACATCACAATTCTTCCTAAGTTGTACTGCATGCATATAAATTTAATCTCTGCTAGTTGGTACTACATGCAGATGATACGATTATCTTACAGCACTGTGTTAATAAGGAGGATATATTCAACTGCAACTGATGATACATAAAGCAGTAGTTACAGAGTAAGGCATTAAGAACTCTAGATGGACATTTGTTTTAACGTTTACCTAGTGAAAGTGATACTTGAGTATACTGATTTTATATTAACTATTTAGTAGCAGGAATCCTCAAGTTCAACATCCTGCACATTAAAAAGGAGAAAAATCATACTGTGAAGTGTTTAGAATAAGCTACAATACTCAGAGTGCACGTTATGGCATCAGTTTTTACCATGCAAACCTCACATTCTTCTCTTCTTAGGCCAAATATGTGAATAATATTTACCTTTTGATAGAACTTAAGAGTTTCAAAAACCCAAAAATATTAGCAGCAAAAAGGGATTAAGAATGCCAAGCCTTTTCTAGCCTTCCTGTCTTTGATCATTATATAAACTATTCTGATGCACTCTTGAAAAGTGAAGACACACCTCAAATATTTTTTTGTATGGATGACCAGGACAAAGCACATTAATGTTTTCAGTTTCATTAGAGGTACTTCAGAACGTACTTATAATTAGTTTAAAATGTATTTGGCTTTAATGATCTTTCTTAAAACAAAAAAAAAAAACCCAAAAAGCAAACAAACAAAAAAAAAAACCACAGCTTTTTCTTTCACTCCACAACAGCAAGTAGTAATTATGCAGGAGATTAGAAATTATTATCTTAATGGTCTCTTCTGGCCCTAAACTATGTTCCAACTATGAATTAAACTTTCACATCTTTGATTACAGCTTGAAAGAACTACTTTTTAATATGCAATAAAACACTCCGCATCAGAATTTAAGCTAAAATCCAGAACAGCCTCCTCTTCCTTCTACATATCCTAAGCTTTTTTGAATCCTTCACACAACAACAAAAAAGAAGGTAAGAATAAACGCAGAAGGACACCTTCCA